CCATCATCAGTACTGTTACTATTCGTATTGTTGTTGTAGTTGTTGTTATTGTTATTATTATCCTTATCCGATAACAACCCAATGATAGTAAACTTCATGATAAGATAACAGAATATGGTGATTTACCGCCTACGATTGTCCATTCAAATCATTCTTTTTATTATTATATACACAGTAAAAACATTCTTCCGTTGGCCATTACCGAACTTCACACCAATTTAAAAGAGAGAGAGAGAGACAAAAAAAAAAGAAAATAAATAAATAAATCGACAAAAGAACAGATATCAAAATTTAAAAAAAATACACATCCGGTGTTGATTTTCACAGCCCTCTGAATAAACACTTTTTTTTTCACCCACTCTTTCGTTCCTAAAGCCCTTTAAACTAACACTCATCCACCACCCTGGCTCTAACCCTCCCTCGCTAATCAGCCGCAGGAAGAGCGGACAATATTGACAATTATGTAAAGCGTACGTGCCATATACGTATGTGTGAAGGAAAAAAAGATTGGATAAGTGTTGCGAAATTATGATAATCGGGTCCTATTATAGCAGCCTCCCTCCCCTTAGGTAGGTGACGGGGACGTATGGAAGGGGGAGGGAGTGGTGCTGGGGTGAAGGGGGTTTGGGCCGTTGAGAAGGGAAGAGTGGGAGAGATGGAAGGAGGGAAGGAGAGGGAGAGGGATTGGGAGAGAAGGATGGAGGCAGAGAGAGAGAGAGAGAGAGAGAGAGAGAGAGAGAGAGAGAGAGAGAGAGAGAGAGAGAGAGAGAGAGAGAGAGAGAGAGAGAGAGAGAGAGAGAGAGAATTCAGATTTACTGTACTTCAATAACAGTGTGAATGTCAGAACGTGACAATGCACAGAATGCAGTATTGTGCATTGTTATTGCATTGCAATACCAATTATCTTCGTATCTGTATGTCAGTGTAAACACCGAAATATTGTTTTCTTTTATACTTTTCCAGTATTAATGTACTAACACAACTCTTCTTTCCTTCGTGTGCAGTTAAAGGATTTGTAATATTGACTTTCCACTAAAAAGGACGCAGGTGAAAAAAAAACAAGTGATACAAATATACAAAACCAGAAAAAAGACCATAAATTTAATCTAGTGCAAGACTTTAATAAAAAAAGGGCCTAAAACAGACTTATGTATGATTTAGCAACATGGAAGATTCTTCGACCCAGCCCGAACCTCAAGACAAAGCCACTTTGTTCTACGTAACTCGAAAGTACGGAGTTGTCGCCCCTGGGTAGTACTTGGTCTTACAAAGGAGCGTACCCTGGGTAGGAGGCACAGCACGACGCTACCCTGATTTAGTGCAAAGTTCAGGGTTAAGTATGTGAAAAAGATAGTTTGAAAAAAAAAAATAGAAGAAACTATTTTTGATTAAAATAAATATATCAGTAGGATTTTGAATTTAATAAAGAAAAAAAAAACAAAAAAAAGCAATCAGATTTTCGTTTATAAAAAAAATATATATATATATATAAATAAAAATAGAAAACCAGAAAATCTTTGAATACATTTTAATTTCTCGTGTACGAACTCTTGAAGTGTATCCAAGATGTACAATTCGACGAGTGGGGGATATAAGGGACCCCACAAAATGATGTTGGGTTCCTCTCCGCCCCCCGTCACAATCACCAAGGTGTTCGACGCGTGGAGTAAGTCAGGCAGCCACGCATGTCCGTCCGCACATACCGATGGTGATTTTGTCATGCACTATGGAAATTATTGATTTTTTTTTTATGAATGATGTACTCTGTTTTGATGTATTTTGATGTAGGGTAGACTATTTTTTGCATGCTTTTTTGTTATCTTTTTTTTTAATGCCATGTTTTGACGAGAAGTAGGTAACTAAATTGTTATTAGTATTTTGTGAAATGCAGTTACGTAACTTTTGGACAGTATTTGTTGTCTCAGCGGGAAAGCAATGCTGAATTGTGTAAGTATATCATTAGTTGAAAGCAATGATATTTCATAGAAACGTTCAGACGAATTCCATCCTTCAGAATTAGATGCTTGAATCAACAGTCAAAATAATGGTAAGTGAACAGATTTGCATATTGGCTACAAGTTACCCTGAAATTTGATGAATTCAAGAAAGGTATTTTTCCGGCTAGAATAATACAAATTTGATTATTTGAAGTGTTCGTAAGTAACTAATGTGTAATATTGTGTGCTTTTAGTATTAGGTTCACATTATGCCTGCACAACATTCCTCTTTAGTCTTCTATTTTTGTCTTTTTTTCCGGTGAGAATAATACAAATTTGATTATTTGAGAAGGCCACAAGTAAATGATGTGTAGCATTGTGTACTTTTAGTATTTAGTTCACATTGTGCCTACACAACATTCCTAGTTAGTCTTCTTCTTTTTTCTTCATTATGACAAATAATAATTTACTAACGAAAAAACAAACATCTTATGAATAAGCCAGATATATTCGAAGTCTGTATACAATAGTCCACCATAAAATAAATCACGTTTTCTTTACAG